TCTCTCTCTCTCTCTCTCTCTCTCCATGAATTCAGTGTTTAATCAACTCTATAGCACTATCATTTTAATGCTAAATATACATAAAATATGTTAATATTTGTTCATTGGATACACTAATTAAAGTAATTAATGTTAAAATCATTAAATCCGATATCAAAGCATAATTTATAGTAATAAACAATTTATTCCTAAATGATAGTCAAATTATTGCAAAAACATAGCGTAATATTATATAACTAAATACAAAATTCATAGAAAACATTAAATTGATTATAATTATGATGTGATTTTTGTTTAAACGTATGTTTGTTTAAAACACATGGTGACAGTTATCACATTGTCTAAGAATTTATTTAGTAAAAACTTAATTTACCACAATTAGCAAGAATTATACTTAATTACTACACATTGTATATCAGATCCCAGATTCTGTGACGTTAGCCGACATATAGTCTATGTTTTTCTGGATTAAAATTATTGAAAAACATGTAATCAATTCATTTAACGTGATTAAAAAGTGATAAAATTTTACAATTTTAGCGAATCACGGAAACTAATAAAACATTTGCCAAATTTGCAGTTTTTAAAAACAAATATAAGTTAAAAAATTATAAAACATTAAACAATAAGTACTAAAAACTATATAAAAAAGTAATCACTATATCTTATTAACTACTTTTTACTACATTTATATAACAGTATAATAAACTCTTTGGATGAGAAAAGTGGTATATAATAAGCAAACTATTTGACTACAATAGCATTAGTCAAAAAGTATTAGTTACTGAAAAAACTGCCACAAAACTAGTGTTTATAATATAATTACAATGGATTTCGATCCCGAAGTATACGACAATTCAAACAACGATACACTACTGCCGGCCAATAGCATTAGTCAAAAAGTATTAGTTACTGAAAAAACTGCCACAAAACTAGTGTTTATAATATAATTACAATGGATTTCGATCCCGAAGTATACGACAATTCAAACAACGATACACTACTGCCGGCCAAACAACTCATTGAAATAATCAATGATTTGAAACCAATCAATTGGTACTTAATATACATAAATCAATCAGTTTTATACTAAATATAACTATTTTTTTATGCAAATTAATGACAATTTGTAGCAAACTGTCGACAATTGTGGACATCGGGTGCGGCTCCGGGAATATGACAAAACTATTAGCGGAACAGATAGACTGCCAGAGAGTTATCGGCTGTGATATCGATCCCAAAATGATTGATTTCGCCCGAAAGGGGAATCGAAACTCTAATATCGATTACTTATTGCAAGACATACAGCAAGACTGGCGCCGATTTAATCCGGAACTGAAGGCACTGGAGGGTCAGGTGTCGGTCATTACGTCCAACTTTGCCCTCACGTGGGTTAAGGACGTGAGGACTGCGGCCCAAAACATATCGCATTTGATCGCAAACGACGGCTTTGTTGTATTCAATATCGTATACGACGGCGACATTTACGAGACTCTCGACCCAAATGAGAGACAATCGGCCGAAAAGTTACTCAAATACCCGACCGAAGAGGAAATGATTGGCAAATGGATTAACGGATTGAAAAAGTCTGGCTTTTCTAACATCGATATCCATTACTGGGAACCCAAAGCCGTGTTCAGCGAAAAAGTCTATTTTGAAGGTTTGTTTGGCAACATTTATAACTAATATTAACTAATTATTAATTATATTTTAATTAACAGAGTATTTAAATGTTCCGATGAATTGGTATAAGAGTTACGCCAATCTAACAAACGGCTCAAACATAGAGATGAGTAAACTATTGAAACAATTGATTATCAAAGACCGGTGCAAGAGTTTGGACATCAAGTCCATCGATGGCGAAGACCTCGTCGAAGTGACCAATTATATCTGGCAGATCATCGCCACCAAATCATAGATTATTTTTAAATAATTTTAATTTATTTTTTCGTTCAAATAATTATAACTTTAATATCTTGGTAATATCAACTCCTGTTTATTTTTATTAAGCATTTAATCCGTCAAATAATTAATTAATTTTAATCATTATATAAAATTAAATATTACTTTTATTACTATTAATATTACATGAATGTCATGAGAGGCATGTTATCCATAGGGAACCTATGATGTAACAAATTTTTTATCATGAAAAATATGTTTTGCTGTTTAATCAGTGTTTATGAATTTGAAGGACTTTGAAATTGCCTTCAAAAAGTCAAATACCAAATGAAATATTATAACTGTTTATTTACTAATGGCTGTTAAACACTGTTTTCACTGAACAACACAATTAAATCATAAAAATATTTGTTTGTAACGTGTATTTCAATTGTTAATGTGATTTAAATCTTAATTATCGTTTTATTACTAATTAAATATTTTACAATTATTAAACAATATTTCTTATCCAAGTAAGTGTTTTCATTAAATAATATTGCTATTGTCATAAAACTAACATGTTTATTTTGCCTCATCATGTGGTCCGGTATTGTTAAAAGTAAACACTTTTATAACGCAAATAAAATTACCTTTTCAGTAAAATAAATAACTAAACAATATAAAAATATGTTTTTAATTACAGATATTAACCCTTATATATTAATATTAGGCCTTAAATGTTGACTAAAAAATAAGAAATTATTGATAGAAAACCTATTGAACATTAGATCAGACGAATATGACTACCAGTGCCCATAGAAATAGGCGGTATTAGTAATAGTAATATTGATATTTCAATTCACGTCAAATTTAACATGGTTAGCAATGGTGTAAATCCAAATTATGACCCAAAATATGACAAATAAACTATAAAGCTAAAAAGTGAACATTAAGTTGGCATTACTTATTTAATATATTTTACCTTTTCATTAATGATGATACTGTAATTGTGTATTCAATGGTAGACACATACCAAGACAATAGCCATGGATTTTGATCCGTCCACATATCAAGAAATCAGTTTTGATGCAATACTTCCAGCAAAAGACCTCATCAAACAAATCAAAGAAAACAACCATGATAATAAGTTTGCTAACTACTTACTTTCGCATCTACATGTACAGTATTTTAATAAATAATAACGTTTACCATTTACTCGCCAGATATCCACTAGTGATGGACATCGGGTGCGGACCGGGAAATACTGCCAAACTATTGGCCAAAGAGATAAACCCGGAGCACATCGTTGGTGTAGACATCGACCCCGATATGATTGCATTCGCCAAACAACACAACGCTATGGCAAACACTGATTACTACATTCAGGACATCTCTCAGGAGTGGAACCAATGGGATAAAAGTCTTCAGAAGTTGGCCGGAAAGGTGTCCATAATTTTCTCCAACTATGCCCTGCATTGGGTTCGGGAGTCGGAGACCGCCACCAAAAATATGGCCAAACTATTGTCAAATAACGGTATTATAGTAATGAATATACTATATTGCGGTGATATTTATCGCAACGCCGGCACCGATGAACGCAGGGCTCAGTTGGAGCGACAGCTCCGGTATCCCAGCGAACAGCAAGTGATCGGCCAATGGGTGACCGCATTCAAGAGCGCCGGACTAAACCGTATTGATATTAAATACTGGGAACCAAAGTCTATATATCCGGTTAAAGTATACGATGGTAAAGTTTATATAATTATTATTATATGATTATCCATTTATCATTTGTAACTTGATTACAATATTTATGATTGTTATTAGAGTTTATTCAATGGCCCGTCAATTGGTATAAACAGTTTCTGACGGACAGTACCGGCAATGAAGACATTGATAAAGTCTTACGAGAGCTGATCCTCACAGACAGAGCCCGGAAGATGTCTGAAAAGTCACCCAAAGGTGAAGACCTGATTGAAATCAAACAGGAGTTATGGAATTTTGTGATCAGAAAATAAGTTACATTTTTGATTGTAATAGTTTATAGATGTGATTAATTTTATTATCAGTATAAAATCAAATGTACGATATTATTATGTACAATATTACTATGTATTAGTTGATGCAAAAAAACATAAATTGTATTTACAATTACAATCAGTAAATGATTTGTGATTTTCCTATAAGAAACACATTTACGTGAATTTTTATTCATTCTAAAGGGGTCTAAATGGCTGACCTCTCAACCAATTCCTAGTACTCGGAGCTGCAGTTACCGAGAGTATCGGTTCCGATACTTACATGTGTTTACCACTTACCACATGTTTAGTCACGTTTCTCTGCCAGACGTAACTTAACAGACAATTCCTACAATAAATTGATCAAAAACTGAATTTATTTATGTCATACATTTGTTATACACCATGTACTTTCTAATAATCCCCCTTTCAATGATTGCGATATATGTGAACACTCAGAGACTGGAGCTATTAGGGTCTGCCATTTAGGGAACGCTATTTATGTATATAATTCTAGTCAACTCGAGTCTGACTTATATTCTATGATAATATTATAAACTGATTATTCTGTGATAATAGCAACACATTTCTAGAAGTGTCTAAATACGTGTTACACTCTGTATATAAGAAACACTGTTTTGGGAATTTGAAATATTTAGCATTTATATGATTGTCAAAAATTGTATGTAATCTAAATAATTACTAGACATATAACAAGATATAACAGCGATGTCTACACACGACGCGTCCACATATGAAGAGACCGGTTTAGATGCTATACTACCCGCCAAAGAGCTCATCAAACTAATTAAGAATAACAACCATGGTGATAGGTTTGTTATTTAAAAGTTTACTTATTTCGCACCTACTGTGCAGTACATGTATGTTATTTAATAATGATGTTTACCATTCACTCACTAGATATCCACTAGTGATGGACATCGGGTGCGGACCGGGAAATACTGCCAAACTATTGGCCAAAGAGCTAAACCCGGAGCATATCGTTGGTGTGGATATCGACCCCGATATGATTGCTGTCGCCAAACAACACAACGCTATGGCGAACACCGATTACTACGTTCAGGACATCTCTCAGGAGTGGAACCAATGGGACAAAAGCCTTCAGAAGTTGGCCGGAAAAGTGTCCGTAATCTTCTCCAATTATGCACTGCATTGGGTCCGGGAGTCGGAGATCGCCGCCCAAAATATGGCCAAACTATTGTCAAACAACGGTATTATAGTTATAGATATACTATATTGCGGTGATATCTATCGCAACGCCGGCACAGATGAACGCAGGGCTCAGTTGGAGCGACAGCTCCGGTATCCCAGCGAACAGGAAGTGGTCGGCCAATGGGTGACCGCATTCAAGAGCGTCGGACTAAACCGTATAGACATTAAATACTGGGAACCAAAGTCTATATATCCGGTTAAAGTATACAATGGTAAAGTTATCAATTTATTACATGATTATCCATTTATCATGTGTAATTTGACTATAATATTTATGATTGTTATTAGAATTTATTCAATGGCCCGTCAATTGGTTTAAGCGGTTTCTGACGGACAGTACCGGCAATGAAGACATGGATAAAGTCTTACGAGAGCTGATTCTCACAGACAGAGCCCGGAAGATGTCTGAAAAGTCACCCAATGGTGAAGACCTGATTGAAATCAAACAGGAGTTATGGAATTTTGTAATCAAAAAATAACCTACATGGTTATTAATAATAGCATTATTATTATGACCCATAAATTGTATTTACTTTTGTAATAAGTTTAATAAAAATGTACTCTAATATCTAGTATAGCACAATAATGTTGCATTGATTTTTGCAAAAATATAGTGAGTTTACAATTTCGATAATTAAATGATATATGATTTTGCTATAAGAAAAGCATTGAAATAAATTTACATTATTTTTTAATCATTCACTGTTTATGGCATTGATTTACTAATGAAATAATAAAAATATTTAAAATAACTTTATGTTCACATCTAATAGACATTCAAAATGAAAAACACTTTTATGTTTTGTTAATGCATTTTTAGTACCAATTTATCCCTATCTTTAAAAATTTAATAATTAACTAACAATTAGGAAAATACTATTTGTAAAATTTTTTAATCAGAGTATTTCAGTGCTATAATTAAAACATAATAAATAAATAAAATTAGTCTAATGATAAACAATTAATTATATCACAATTAAACATGTAATTCGTTTATAAAATGATATCAATTGATAAAATAAATAATAAAAACATTGATTATATAAATGAAAAAATTATGGTAAAATGGGAAATAAATGTATTGATTGATTGATGTCTTAAATATCTTCAAATTGAAACTCATTGACATATCGGCCGCTTTGTTGACGATATTTATACCCATTGATAGTAAGCCATGTCTTTGTGCTGCCATTCTTCGGGAGTTTATCTTTAAAATACTGTTTAGCCTTTAGATAGTTGGCTCGAGTGATGGCAAAGGAGTTGGCCATTGTCTTGAGGCAAAAATCATTGGTCGCTGCATTCAGTGCCGCCAACTCTTCGCCGGTTTTGGTCATCAATTGATCCAAATTATTAATAATAAATGTCTCGACAGATGTTCGCAACTCTTTCAACGATAATGTGAACGCTATTTTTGACACCACCACCAGATTATCCACATTTACCATATATTTCAAGTGGTCCTCGAGTTCGCCGATCAGACGTATCAACTGATACTTATCGGCGATCTTCAGCACATCACAGATCTGTTCCACATTTTTATCATCGTTTAGGACGAGTCGATCGGTGTATATGTAAAGAACCATTGCTTTGAAAGCATCGACATTCGTGTCTTCGATTGGGATCTCCTTCTCGTCCGACTCCTTGAATTTGCCCGAAAACATGGCTCTAAACACATCACTCTTCAGACCCAACACTTTGCTTATAGCGGGAACTCTTTGGCCATCAATTATGAAGACGACATCGCTTTCCGATTCGTTCAAAAAGCACGATAACTCCGGATATCTTAAGACACTCTGAAAAGTGGACAATAAATCAATGGTTATCTCAATATGAATGCGCTGTAAGAATGAGCTCAAAAAGTGCTGTCAATTACCTGTGAAGCGGTGCCAAAGAGTGCTGTTATTTGTTGGGACGCGTTGTCGTCACCGATACCACCGCTTCCACTGCCGTTATCTTTGGATCCGTTAGCGTCAGACATGGTTTTAAATAAATGCCAATTAAATGCAATTTAAGGGATAATTTATGTGTGAAGTGAAACACCGATAAGTTTTTAAACAAAAATCACATAAAAATCAATAAAAATTTTTTATAAATACAAATACTTTTACTTTAAATACTTTAAAAACTAACTAAACGACAGATTATAATAATGTATAATAAAACGCTGTGTGTAAAAACTAAAACCTAATTGACCATATTTTGATGCATACATGTCTCTTATATACTCTTAATACAGACTCAATCTTACAATTATTTTTAATACTTATTTTAAACATTTGTTAAAATTGTTGTAAAATATTTCTAAACTTTACATTAATATTTGCATGCATTATAAAATTTTCCTAAAAATGATTACTATATAAACTTTTTATACAGTATACTAATAGTGTGGACATTAAAACTATAAAATAATTCTAAATATTAAAATTAAACATCAGTTGTGGAATTCCATGGCCAGTAAATAAACTGCATGATCAATTACAATGGTTTTAATTAAGACTTTAATATAGAGTTTACAATAACTGTAATATTTCTTTTCATTATTAAATTGTTAACGTTATTGTTAATAGCAATTATAATGTTGACTTTACATTGTAACAATTTAGGGCCTTTGAATCATTACTTTTAATTAATTAATGTTAACTTTTAATTAATGCTTCACATTTATTGACGAAATAATCGTTTCTTTTCTATACAACTGCTTATGAGTTTCATTTAAAAATAAATCCAAATACTGATTAATAATAGAAACTTTATTTGCTTTAAAATAGTTATGTTTTAAATGTAATATAAAACAAAATAATTATATTTCATTAGAAATAAAATCAAAATTAATTATTTAGTATTAATTTTGAGAACAAATGCTTGAGATAGTGATCCGGGACTGAGTTGTGGGAAAGTCACTACCGTTGAAGCGCCCGACTCTTTGAATACTAGATGGCCTTTCGCTCCCAACAGTTGAATTGTATCCACAATTTTGGTGTCAACCGCTCCCAGAGTTAATTGATTGGTTTGCGGCCAATCCAGTGCTATTGCATACACAGACTGTGCCTTTTGTGTATACCTGGAAATCAATGGATTTACAAATCACTGCCATTTCTTATTTTTTGTTAATTACTACTAAAGTCTTACCAAACGTTTTTAGCGATGGTATCGTTTTGGTGTTTCCACGGAGTGGTCGCGTATATAGACTCGCCATTCACTGCGAGCCACGCACCCAATGCTCTCAAACGCTCCTCAAATATCGGGGCAACTCTACCGTCATGTGTGGGACCGATATTTATGAGCAAATTTCCGCCACAACTCACTGTTTGAGCCAAAGTAGTGACCAATTGATGTGTAGTTAAATAATCGCTGAGTTGTGCGTCGCGTCGGAAACCCCACGAACTCTTGTCTAAAGTCATGGCGTTTTCCCATTTGTGGCGCTGAAGTACACCCGGATTGTAGCGATCATCGCAACTAAAATAACCACCATGTTTGCAACCCGTGCCCGCACCTTATAAATAGTTATTGAGTTCATTATTAATTGCAATTGTCTTTTAAACAACTTCAATATATTTACCCCATCTGTCATTCACCACAACAGTGTCTTTCACGGGACTGCATATAAATAGATTAATAAATTATTAAACATTATACTTATATATTGATAATTTAATTAATAGTCTACCTCTCGTTGTAAAGCCAGACCAAGAAGTCGGTGCTGTTCCAGTAGGTGTCGGGCGCCTCCCAATCGCCGTCAGACCAAATCACTTCTGGTTTGTATGTATTGACCAATTCTTCTAATTCTGGACGCGCTTTGAATTGAACAAAACGCCGAGTACTCCACTTATTATTTTTATCGTCATTATATAACGGATTAAACCATTCAAACCACGAATGATAAGCACCAAAACGAAGGCCCGCTTTGCGCACCGCAGTCGCCAAATCACCTGAAATTATAATACAGACACTAATTACAAAAAAATACAAAATACACAATTCATACCCAATAAGTCTCTATTCGGTCCGATATCTACTGAATTCCAATTGAACGATGTCTTTGATGGCCACAGAGTGTATCCCTCGTGATGTTTGGCCGTCAGCACTACATATTTAGCGCCCGATGCTTTGAAAATCTCTGCCCAATGGTTGGGCTCATAGAATTCAGCGGTAAACTGATGGGCAAAGTCGGCGTAAGTGAAACGCGGCTTATAATTGCGGGCCATGAAGTCGTTGCAGGCCTTGTCATGGGTTCCCCTCCAACGCCACCAAAACCATTCGCTGCCAAACGAGGGCACAGAGAATACACCCCAGTGTATGAAAATGCCTACCTTTGCCTCGTCGTACCAGTGAGGCAGCGGTCGGGCGTCTATTGAGTCCCAATTGGGCGCATACTTTCGCCCGGCGGTCACTTTGCTGCTACTGTTTGGCAGACAGTAAATGATGATGAACACAATGAACACCACGAAAATATAACGCGAAATTATAATGCAATATTTAATATAATTTAACATAATGAATTCATTAACGCCGCAATATTAATACCCACTGTTATTATTATTAATAGTAAGTTATCTATTAATACTGTTAATTATTGTGTGTATTAATTGATGTAAAAATACGTATATTGTATTTCCAATCAATAAGTAAAGGATTGGTGATTTTGTCATAAGTTAGTTGACATTACAGTTTAGTACAAGTGATGGTTGCTTGAAGTGGTGAGCGATAGGACCCAATGTTAGGCGCATAGACAGCCCCATCACATCACTCTATTACTCATTCTGTATTCTTTATTTATTTACTATTTAATTGATTTAATAATTAAATAAAAATTTTTAATTACTTTATGTTTACTTTATAAACGTCATCAAAAATGAGAAACATTTTATTTTGTTGTAAATATATTTCTAGTACTAATTCATTGATGTCTGGATTAATAAAACAATTAACAAACTAGATAAAATTAGTAAAATCAGTTAGTTAAAAATTAGTTGATAAAAATTATATAGTTTAAAAAAGTACACAAATGAATTTACTTTCATTTATAATTTATGTCTATATTTTAATAATTAATAATCAAATAAATACCGCAAGTAAATCATAAAAATTGTATTAATATTGGTTAATAGAAATTTAAATCTCAAATTAATTAACTTATAATGTTTTATTCAGACTCCAGGTTCACCTACTCGGAGATATACCGGTGCCAAATAGGGTCGTATTTTAGTAAACTAAGCAGGGTTATTAAAACCGTGTCCACCAATCAAACTCATTGCGGTCTACATATAAGCGAAAGCACCGGTAAAAAGATATTTGAAGTGTCCAGCAATAAAGACGAGGGAGACATCAGGGTTAAAGTCAAATACACCATCATGGCTAATAAGGGTATGCGATCAAAGCATATGAATTAATATTAACAAGTGTTGAGAGAGAGAGAGAGAGACGAGATTTTATCATTATTTATATCATGAAATGTTGGGTCAAAATATTTATTTCCACATAATTTTTATAATAAAAATTGGTATAAAATAACAGCAAAATAACAAAAATAGACTTTAGTTTTGAATAACCGATATCTAAGTCCCGTTTCTTCCGATATAACGATTATAATGTGTTTTACGACTGTTTTGGTTGAAAAATCGTTCAAATTCTTCGAAACGTTTTCTTATCTCTGGTTTTGTGGCAAAAGAGAGAAAATCAATGAAAATATATATTAGAAAAGTTTTATTGTTGTTATGTTTTTTAGTGTAAAAACATATAAATAATACATTTCATGTGTTAAATGACAATAAAAAGCATGATAATAATAGTAAAGTGTCACATGAATCTCCGGTACATACACTAAAAACAACAATAGTCTAGATTTATATTCACTCTCAATAAAAATAAAATAAAATGAATGAATGTAAAAATGAATAGTAAATTACTGTTATTTACTGTTTGGTAGACCAATGGAAACAATAGCTATGATTATTACCGAGATGGGGGCCGCGGGGCCGGACACGGCTCGTGGTGTTTGGCTCATAATATGCCACTTTTCCCATACAGTATGACTCACAGGTGCCCACGATCTGGATGTCGGCCACTTTAGAGTCCATACGGCGGATACCCGACCGACAGTTACCGTCGGTAATCACGTTGTATTGTTTGCTAACAAAATAGTCGCCGACACACTCTCTGAAGTACGAGTTGACTACTTTGCCAGCGATTATCACCGTTTCATTGCCTTTTAATTATAAATATAGAAATTTCATTTTTACCATGAACATTTTTATAGATTTATTTTGTATGCGTTTGTTTTGTGGTGAGAAAAATGATTGTAAATTATTGTGTCATATATTGGGCGACATTTTAAGCCAATGTGTTGTATGTGTTGTAAGGATTGTGTATTGAATATAATTTACAGGAATTGGAAATATATTTTGGGGAAAATAAGTTATTGCCCACAAAATAGGCAATAAATTACATAGATTTTAATGCTATTTATTAATGTGTAACTCATTTTTCATCGAAATATTCCCTAATTTATCATTAAATGCCAATAAATGTCAGATTCTCTCTCTCTCTCTCTCTCTCTCTCTCTCTCTC